AAATAATGCATTTACATAACTTTAGTTATTTCCTTAAAAATTTATTATTTGCTTAAAACAAAATGCATTGTTACAATCTGGCAACCTATTTTAGACACATTTCTGTATATAATTCTTATATTTTTACGTACTATAAATAAATATTAAATAATTTTCTATTTGTGTACTAATTAATACTTTGTATTAATATATGTATAGAATATATTAATTAACTCAATTATTAATTCTTCTAAAATATTACCTCTGCGTATATTGGCAATAGAATACAGCGAAATTATATTGTATTGTATTATAATGACTAATACGCGCCAACGGACTTAAAGTCGAATCCCAGTCGCAGCGGGATTTCGTCCCAAAAGAGAAAATATATCTGCTGTATGTCATAATGGTCGCGCCACATTTACGGAATTTAAATGCGTTTGTGATCGTTCCTGAGAAAATCGCATTTCGAATGTTCCCCGATAAAGGAAAACGATCTTGTGTACTTCGGTACAAACTTTTATTGCACTCCTGGGTATCTCGGAGATACCTCGATACTTCTTCAGATGCATATGATGCGCCATTAAGCTCGTCTCGCGCTCTTGCTCCGCCGATTCAAAAAAATAAGAGAAACTACGTATACGGAGTAATTTATATTTGTTTCAATAAAATATACTGTTACGTATCGATAAAATGTTCACTATTTGATAAATCGTATTAATATTTTCTATTTACTGCTTGCTTTTTATAGTCTTGTTCTAATTTTCTTTTCATTGTCGCATGGGATTCTAAAGTAAGGCGAAAAAATGCAATTGCGCAACGGTAAAGCCGATCGTAACTTCTTTGTACGCGCAGTGCTAACCCGTGAACGTAAAGAGAGTAAAAGAAATCAAGGATAAAGATTGTCATGTACCCTGCCCGCTTTATTAAGAAATTTTATTATACTTTTTTACGGTAGATTGCTCATAAGTGCGCGACGCTCGCGGATTTTTGAAAATGTACCATGTATAAAATATAATCTTCTTTTCGGTGCAAAACCTGTTTTGAAATTGAAATCGCACGGACCCAGTACGTATTTCATCGTAGATATCATCCCTTTTCTCGAGGTACTTTTATTGTCATGACATAAGCAGGTGAGATATAATCGTTTTTTTTCTACCATTATCGCGGATTATACGCGGTCGGCCCTGTTTCAGAGCAATTTAAATTCGCATCGTCCTGTGTCTCACCGTATGAAACTAGGAGGCTTTAACCGGCGGCCTTTTACGAATGAAGAAGTATAAAGTACGGCATAATAACGTGTTGCACGTAAAAGATTTCCATATTGTACATGTCTCGTACTATTTTCACGTAATGAGCGAGCTCCGTGTCGTGTCATATTAATTCGTGTATTAACGACGTCGATTGATATGCGTCGGTGATACGAAATTCAAAGCTCTTTATGCAAATTTTTGTAAAAACGTGCTTGACTTCACTAACGCAGTTATTGCATGTTTTAAATTGTCACATTAATTTTCATACGTTACAAACGTTAAAAGTATCATTTATTGGTGTTATTTCCACCTTGGCATTGTTTCACGCCGCGATGGTAATAATAAGAATGCGCAACGTTGTTCAAACAAAAAAAAATTTTAATTTAAAATAACTTTGCCGCACCGCATTTTCTTTCCGGCTTGAAAACGGAAGCGCGTCGTGAATAAAGCAAAGGTCGCAAGCGCATAGGTTGGATGGATGCATTTTCCGTTCATCTTGCCATATGAAGGCTTATCGATGAAGTGGCGCGACGGATATTCATCGAATATATTGGTGCTTTAGAGTAACGTTCAAAAAGTCCGCGTCTTTCTCAATTTAGTCAGCTGGTATGTTTCCCGTCGATTTTGACGGCGTCTTTTCTCGTAATTTATATCAATAAGGGACGAAAGTGACGAAGGATTTTCCTTCGTTCTTGCGCTACGTCAGCAGAACAAGCGACTTTATATATGAATTTATGCAAGGTATACGTGCTAGCGGAAATAGTAGTTGTACATAATGGAAATTTCGAAACAACGAGCAATCATTAATTATTATATAAATGTAATAAACTTTTAATCTAATTAATTAAATAAATAATATATAAAGCTGTGGCAGAAATGATTCATATTAACGACTCGTTCGTAGATTCTTAAAGTCTTAAACTTTCTTAAACTGCGAAATTAAAAATAACCAGTTAAAACTTAAACACAATACATTTAATGTAACACAATATCTGATTGCGAACAAACTACAGAAAGAAAATTCTTTCTTTTTCTAAGACAGATACAATAACAAGACAAACAAGTGAGTCACTTACAGTTGTTAGTTTCATTTAACTTTAATTAACGCAGTTATGTGCAAAATTAGTCCCCGTTTATTCCATGTATCACTGTTTTATTATTATAAAATGTAATTAACTTTTCGCTGTAATTGAAATGAGTAAGCGTGCAGTATTTATTTACGGTCACTTTATTTATTTATGTTTTACATCACTTTTAACATTTTTTCTTAATTTCACGACTCAGAAACGAGAATTTGTTGAAATCACAACGTCACTAAGAAGCTTTTGTGTTATCTTTGAAAGAGCTATGAGAAAAAAGACGACATAATTTTTCACGAAATTCCGAGCAAACTGTAATTAAGAATGCTTAGAAGAAAATACGAAAACTATGCGAGATAATGACGTTCACGGTCCATCAAATTTAAAAGTATGCACAAGTTATGCGAATCGTAGTGATTAAATGGAAAGTCTATCAAGGTAATTCATCAACGTGGTAGTACGCGTCCTTAAATAAAATAATAATTATATGCAATAAAGTGTAATTATATATCGTGTTCTACTTCTCATATATGATTTATTAACAACAAACTCTTTGACCAACTTGAAACTGATTTTAAACTTGAAGGAAATGTTGAAGCACCAAAAATGTTCGATAGAAAGAGAATTTTTCATGAAACAAACTTCAAGGCTTCAAGAAGTCAAATAAAGTATAAAATTATATTTCGCAGTTAATTCCAAATGAAATTTACTTGAAAAGAAATTTATAGTACGGTTTAGTTACGTAGACAAAAAATAGAAAAAAGCTACAATAAAAAATAATTTCGGTATCTCGACATTTTCGTTGAAAAAAATTGACTAAAAAGTCTGTCGTAAAAAATAATACGCGAGATAAAAATTTTGTATGAATACAAGCAATTGAAATTTTAGTTTAATTCTGCGAATTTATTCCTTCGCTCACATACAACAATTACTCTTCTTTTTTCAACGAATATTCCGTTATTTTCGGACTAAAAACTGTAATAAATGCATAATGCACAGTTTAACTATGCTAAGAATATTCGATAAAATCCCATAGCTTCGTCCTAAATTTTTGTTCTACCTGGACAGAAAATATCGCGTGAGTAGGTCGTGGTCGCGAAAGAATTTCGTAATCGGATCCGAGGTCACGTCGAGAACGTTTCTCATAAAATTCACTCTTCCTCCATCTGTGTACTTTAAACTGCAGTGAAAATTGTTTGGCGACACTTTCGAGTCCAAACTTCTCCACTAGTAGCCTTCATACGACTGATGGGTGAAAAGAAAACGATACTGCAATGAAAAGCTGGGGTAAAAGCGTTTCTTTACCAGAGTGCATGTCACGTGCGTTCATTCATTTTTTGCAAAAATGCTAGTTCAGTTAGTTTCAACTCTTCAGAGCTTCTGTTATTGAATGTCGAACTCTTTTCTATCATTGAGAACGCGCAAGCGATATTTTTTTGCTGACAATCGAACGTGCGTTATTGTTAGTTCAACGTTACACTGTATACATTGAAAAAATAAAACTCAAACATGTATTTTTATTCTTTTTCCCTGTGTTCTAAGATAATTAAATCTATCGATTTATTTCGGGTTTCGAGGCAAACGACAAAATGTAATTACACTCGGCTGTCGATACTTTATATTTTGCTAGGCCGTTAATTAATTTCTTATTTCATAGCGTGCTCCACGGATAAATTATTAAAGATCAAGATAAATATTTGATAAATTATCTCAAATTAAGAAAAAAAGCAATATTAAATAGGCATATTCAATATTAAATCAGATATAAAAATTGGGTGTCCGTAAAGGCAGACTAGATAACTCTGTATGATAGAACGTAAATGTGATTTAAATACACAATATGCTTCTTTTTTAGCTGTGTCGGTGTCAGTGGGTGTCTGGACACTGGTCGCTATTTCATTAGAACGTTACTTTGCTATTTGCCGACCATTGAAATCGAGACGATGGCAAACGCAGTTCCACGCTTATAAAATGATTGCTGTTGTGTGGACTCTCAGTCTCACGTGGAACGCGCCAATTCTCGTCATGTCCCAATTAAAAAACTTGCGTGGAGGTAAGAGCACACAAACACTTCATTTGAATAGACTCGTAGATAAATAATAGCTGATAAATAAACGGCTAAATGACTTTAAATTTCCTGATTTAAAAAATCAAAAATTTTGAAAAATTATGTTAAATTTTTTTTTCTCTTTGTATTATATACCTAAACAAAATATTATATATTTAAGGTGCAAAACTTTGTAACGGAACTGCATGCACTCTAATGTCATTTGTAAAATTTATCACAATTGCTCGCTGGAACGGAATTGGATCTTTTACTGTGTTGACATTTTTATCTCAATACTGACATCCACCCTCGCCTTCCTCTGGGAATTTTATTCATTGGTATAAGCAACTTATGCATATACATATTGTCCAACTACTGGTATATTGAATCCTCAATATTGAACATTTATAAAAGAAGTTGGAGCCTTTGTGTCATAAAAATTTTTTTACACAATAGGCGCGATTCAATTGGAATGAGAAACAGTATCAATTTAGTCCCTGAAATTTTATAGCGACTGACGACAATTAATACAACACTTTTCTTACGAGTTAACATAAATTATTGAAAATTACTTTTTTTATATTACTTATATTACTTCTTATATTGGCTTATATTAATCATGTGTATTTAATATTATTCCTCATTTAAAATCGATTCATTACGCAAATTCGTTATATCGTATTGCTTTAACATTAAGAGATCAATCACATGATCCACCGCTTGTGTGCTATTAGCACTAGACCTCTAATCTGATCAACAGAACATGTAGTAGAACGTATGTATACCATATATGATTACCGATTTATGTCTTCGCGCATAGGGCAGCAATATGGCTATGCATATTACATCGCGTGTAGTTCCTTCGGGATTAATTACTTGCTCAAACGTTCCTCGAACTTGATATTGGAGTATTATTGAAAATCAGTTGCCCAACATCAATATTATTGATGCTCTATATTACTTACTGAGCTCAATATTGTGGTGATTAATTGCACAGCAATATCAATGCCATATGTGTGAAAGGATTATATTCATTATAATGTTATATTCATTATATTATTGTATATTAATGCTTACATATAATAATATATAATACAATAATATTAACGTTACAGCAATAAATTCTATTAGAATGATGCTGATAAGTACAATCGTAAAATTCGCGTATAAATGTGCGTCATAATAATACTCCAATCTATCAGATTTTGATTTGTTAATAAAAACAACCTACAAAACAAAGAAACGAATCTCCAATCTCCTAATTAGCAAATTTAGTTAATGATTACGTTTAAATTTTCTGTGAACAAATACGGAATTGGATTGCCTTTTATTTTAACTTTTATCCGACTGCATCGGATGTTTTCCGCTGGCAAAGTGTAAGAAGTGGAAATGTGACGGCAATGCCATCTCGCTGTTACACACAGCTCGATTCCTTTTACGACTAAACGGTCGAAAAAGTCTTTCGCATCTCTTGGCGATTTCAGGAAGGCGTAAATGCCGCGAGGAGTGGCCGAGTGTCGGCACCGAGAGGGCGTACAATCTCTTTCTAGACGGCACATTGCTGTTGATACCGTTGTTGCTCATGAGCCTGGCTTATTCGCTGATAGCGATAAAACTTTGGCGCGGCCTGAAGCTCGAGATACGACAGTCATCGACGTGCACCAGGAGACGTAAGTGAAGTGTCACCTCGATGTGTCAAAGATAGATATGACAGATACCAATTTTCGCGTCGAGCGCTCTGCGCCGACTTGTCGCGATTGCCCTTGGAAAAACATTTTCCTGCTTCGTGCATCAATCTCATTTTATTTTCGCAAATTTTATTTTCAGCAAACGTTGTACGATAAAAAAATTTGTGAAAAATAAATCAACAAAATTTCGCAAAAATAACATGTGTAATACAATATCAATGTATAATTGATAATTATTAAAATAGAAAATTTAAGAACTTTGTGCTCGTCTTACTTTTTTATCGACATCGGAAAGATATATATTTTTTTGAAAATTTTTGAATTAGATGAGTTATGTAGAATATTTTTTTTCAGAATATTAGGGTCGAAGATTGTATAAACATTATGAATTACAGTTGGCAGAACGGCATCAAATGCGACGCGGAGTTCAACTTACAACAATAACAACGATCGCGATGCAAGATCCACAGTGGTATTTAGTAATGCTCGCAGACCGAATTCGAGATCGCGTCGAGGTTTCTCGTCTTCCACGGGACACTTGCAAGGCACTTCTCAAGGTGCACCATCTAGGGTGAGAAAATACTGCGCAAACATCACCTTGAAATAGGAATCTAGATTTACAATCTCGATATCTCGAATTGTCGAGGCATTGCCGAGAAGATAAATGGCCAGATACACACACATTGATTGCCTAAATTATTTTTATTTTTAATCGTCGTAATATTTTCTTAATTCTACGGTGATAACATTGAGTCCATAAAATCCAATTCTTATTTAAATTATTAATTCTAAAATTAAAAAGCATTGATTACAGACGTTGATAAATAATATTTTTACTATTTTTATAATAACAAAACTAAATAATAATTTGCAGAAAAAGTTTTTATATATAAATTTTTCACTAATATATTTATAATATATACAAAATTGTTATATAGTCTAACATAATAAATTGCTATATATAATATATACAAAAAATTATTATGTAAATATGTTTAAAATAAAATTACTTGAGATAAAAATAAATTGTAGGATTGCGTGGAATTCTTTAATATTTCATATTTCATAATGATATTCATAATACCCTTTTTATGAATCATTCAAAAACTCAACGTTATCACTGACAGGATTTAATTCTACGATATCAATTTACAGTTAAAATAGTTAAAACAGCAAATTAAACTTGCCATTTACAAAGATAATTTTAATTAATAATATTATAATTTTACTCTCACAGTCAGTGCATTGTTACCGAACCCAATTATTCATTACCACATTGTTAATATAACAAGATTGCATTTCCAACTATAATTCGAAGGAACGATTAGTGTATTATTAACTTTCCTCGGCTAATTGAGATTTCATAATCCGACGAAATGGTTAGGCGTCAGATAAATTTGCAGAATTACGGTTGCGAATTAAGTCGTCCGCCGTCTCGAGAACATTCGGGCAACACGTGCAACGGTTAACCGTGACATTTCGCGTTTCTCCCCCTTTCTAAAAAAGGTGCGGCTACCACGGACGGTGGTCTCCAGGGTGCTTACCGGCAAGTGTCACGGTACAGATTTGTCCCAGGGATCCAGGATTCAGATACGGGCAAACGGAAGCGGCTGCTTAACGCGGGACACGAAGGACATCGTTAACGAGGATCATCAAGACTCAACCTGTCCGCTCAACAGACAACACGTGATACGCAGTAATTACATG